TGCATCCATGTGAGTAAAGATTTTCGAGAGGGATTTCAAACAACAATCAATCAAGCAATCAATACTGCCATGTTTGATAAAAGTTGAAGAGCATGGTAACAAATCTAAAGCTCCTGAGTTCTGTGGACTTTAAAAGCAATCCCCAATAATGTTATCATAGAGAAAATGTCGGCTGTTATAAATAATGATTTATATATTCTCTGATTTTTCTTAAGTCACACATAAAGCAGATACATGTATCAAATTTCTTACAGATTTAGACACTTGGTTTTTACAACACCTTTTTATAACATAAACGTCGAAATAAGAATGGTAAGTCATAGATATCTAAATGTTGTCAAAATTTTGTACCTTTTCCGTCGGTTATATATTTTAAGATATACGGGGTATCAGAAATCAAAATAAATAAAGAATAAAAAGTCTAAAAACACTAAAGTTAAGCATTTATCCTTTTTGGATTATCTTTATGTTATATATCTTAATTATAGCCTACCTTGGGTGTTCTCCTTGGATGTCCGTGTAAGACTTGTAGTGGAGTGTGTTGAAGAGACAGAATGTGTGACTGATGACTGTTTTGACGCTGATTTATAATCTCCCCCTGAACATTGGATATGAATTTTTCCTGAAAAATTGTTTAACCCCCTTTAAATCCATACAGCTACCAAAGCAGTATTTTTTTTATCTGTTTAAAACATGTGAATAGAAATGAGAAAGGAACATTTTTTTTATAAATACGTGAAATGTAGAATTGCATAATATACCTCGAGATCTTGTAATGAAATGAAAAGAAGCATTTATTGAATCTGTGTTGTTAACCAGGGTGAGGAGTAAAGGCGTGCTGTCATTCAGTGAGATGTACATGCTTAGGTAATCGCATTTCACTTTTTTGATACTCTCCTTTTCCTTAATTTCTATATTCAAACCACAGTTACCAGGAGGTAGAGGAGATGCCCAACTTATATGTATGTTGGTTGGTTCTGTCCAGTTAGTGGTGGATAGCTGACACAAACACGGTAAATCTGATATCTTTGGAACTTGTAGATATAAAATGTAATCAACAGATTCTTCAGCTTTGCAAAATGTAATTTCTGAAATCATTTAAATGAAGTTTCAAATAAAATTAAACAATACATACAACCCTAACAAAAACAAACTATTGTTTACTATAGTAAACTAAAGTTATACAGTGTAGGAAACTAATTTTGATACCGAAATCAGCATAAGCAAAAGTAGCATCTGCATCCAAGTAGCATCAGGATCAGCATTTAAAAAAAACTTTACCAGCATCAGCAAGCAAAGGTTAAAACTAGCATTTACCAACTGAAAAGCAGCAATATCCTCATAGCATCAGAAAAATCAATTAGTTTTTCCTCTATATTAGAATGAAAACTTGGACAGAAAATCTGTTAAATCATTTAGATTATTAGTACAAAGTGAAATATTATGATTTTAAAAATAATTATATAAGGCACTTTAATTGCTTTAAATGACAATACTGAAATTCAATTATTTACTTCTGGTTTCATGATGCTACTTCCAGTAGCACAGACCTTATTATAAAACAGCATCAGGATGAAGATAACTAGCATTAGATCAGCAAGCAAAGGAAACGTTTATTCAAATCAGAAGCAAAGAATTCCAAAGCATTCAAAAAAGCAGCAAAGGAAACATACAAATCAACCTGCTGTAACAAAAAAAGATGTAGTTCCCTGCACTGCAGTCTTCACAATAGTAAATCAAAATTATTTTTACTATGAATTTCAGTTAACTATATTTTATTTGTTAACTTCCTGTAAGGAATTATCTGATATGAACTATTTCTTGTATATTTATAGAATTATTTTATCCAAAAATTACATTTATATTTAATGAATTGTAATTTACGATGTACATGTATTAAGGTTCGACATCTTCTAAAAAACTCTAGAGCGAAGTTTCATTGTACATGTGTAAATCAAATTATCCACTACAGTTAACAATTGTAAACTATAATTACAGGTAACTATGAGAAATTTTTGTCATAAAGGGAAGATAAATATTCTTATTCTATTCATTAAGTAAAAGTTATAATAAATTCTCATACTTGTTCGATTTCCAGCGAAGCAGATTCCTGAAAAAAAAAATAAGAGTAGCATGATTCTTGATTTCAATTTATGAGTTATGTACATATATTTACTTTAAAAAATGCAGAATTCTTCTTAATATTTGTTTTTAAAGACATATACCAAAACATGTCATTTACACACGTCTTATTTCCGGAATATTGTATGTTGAATTACATGAGCTTTATTTCATTTCTTTTTAATTCAACGTTTGATGTTTTTAAAGATCTATATATGTAATAAATTTGTAAATATGTAGATCATAAGTATATTTTAAAAAGTTTAAACAGGTAAAATACCTACCTAAGTAATTCAAAATAAAACCCAATAACAAAAATCCTCCCATCATAATAAGGAAGTAAATACCTACGAATACACATTATATTCTTACTTGATCAAATCTAAATACGTGTCTGTTTTAAGTATACATTTAGATTTAAAGCCCATACAGATTTGGAAGTAAATACCCCCGAATTGATATACATATATTGTCAAACAAAGTTATTATTATTTTATTTAATGTGGAATCTCGATTGCTGTTGCCATCGGCTTTAAAAATACGAGTAGTCACATTTAAAGTTCAATCTAGATGTAATTTGTGTTTTTAGGTCACCTGAGTAAACCCAGGTGACCTATTGCTATCTGTTTTCGTCCGTCGTCATACGTCGTTAATCATTCGACGGTGGTAAATTTTTAGCTTCTTCTCCGGAACCACTGAACCAATTTCAACCAAATTTGGTATACAGCATCTATGGGTGAATGGGTACCAAAAATGTGAATTTCATGGTTTCTGCCCCCTGGGGCCTAAGGGGTCGTGCAAAAACAACTTAAATGAATGCAATCTTTAAAAATCTTCTTTACTCCTGGACATCAAGCAGTCAAACTGTTGGCATGATTATAATCAGCTTTAAGTCCTCTACCAAAATCGTGAAATTCATGGCCCCTTGATCAGGGGTTCTAGTATTAAGGTGTGGCTATAAAGATCATAAAGGGGTTGCGTCATGTGAAAAGGGACCTTCGTGACAAAATTTTGAAAATTTACTTTTTTTACTTTCTTTGAAGAGGAAGTCCGACTGAGTATTTTGATACCATTATTTTTTTGTTTTTCGAAAAATATACCTAGAAAAAACGTATCTGAAACAAAATGATAAGTCTCTTCTTTTAGCATTATGAACGTTGCGTAACGTAAAAAAGATAACGTCATTTTCCTTGTAAAACAAAAGACTAGATACATGACATTGTTTTAAATTAACCAAAGAAGAACCATTTATTTATAACCAATTCTTAAAGCTTGGTAATTGTAACGAATAAGAATTCTTGAAGTAAAGAGTAGCACGTACAAAAAAAGAGAACATGTACATAGATATGTAACATTACTTTTCTGTGTTATTTTGTTAGATTTCATTCAAACATAGCAACAATAAAAAATCAAAGTCCATTTTCCTGGGGCATTTCATTCCTCGGGATTTGGACATGTCATCTCCTTGTAAGGATCCCTGACAAATGATCTGACCCTACGGTAGAGGTACTGTTGTCACTCAGGGGAAATCCCTCCGGGTGGTATAATCTCCGGCATCATGCCAACTGCTGTTAAATCTTCGGGTGTAACAGAGGACTTCAGCAACTCAATTTCCGTTTTTGCATGGTCAACTGTTTCTTTGACGTATACTTTTCCTGTGAAAATATTATTCAGTATATATAATTATATATTTATATTTACCCATTAAAAACAACATATGCATATTAAAAAAATCACCGGATTTTTTTTCTAAAAATCCTACCAGGAGATAATGAAGAAAATCTGAAATGATGGAATTTCCGTATGCCTCTTACTGGAAGAAAGTAATGGGAAACAAACTGTGACCAAGTAATTACATACATTTTATTTCATATATTTATCTAGGTGAATACCATACTCACTTTTGTTAACTCATTTCTTATTCGATTATTGAATTAAGTGAGTATCATTCTAACATTTTGTAAAGGCTTTTGTCGAACACCCCTTTGTTATCTTATTCCTTACTGGCGTATCTTTAAAATCAACTCAATCCACTTGCGCAGTAGGTCTAGGTATAAATACTCATGTTCGATTGAAATTACTTGTCCCGCCAGCCAGTTTTCAAGGTCACAACTCCTCGAGGCCGTGCTGTCCGTAAAGGTATTTGGTTTTGAAATACCTCTCTTTTTCATAACTCGTTATTTTTTCTCATAACTTGTTATTTTTCATTCTATTTGAAGTTATAATTCATGTATATATCTTTTATAGACACATGCCATTGTCGTTTATTGCTGTTTAATTAAGATTTAAACGTGACCTGGTCTTGTTTCTGCTCGGTTACAAAACGTCTTCCCAATCAAACCATTCCCAGCAGTGTTCTCCCGCCTCGTTCAAATATGAACTGCGGTATTTGATTTGACACTCTTGTTGACGACATCCACGTCCGGATAGACTGTCAACATCAGTTCTGTGATGGCGACGCTTAATGTTTGCAAACCCAACATCCACTAGACAACGTCCGTGATAGGGCACTTGCATTGAAAGGGTAACATTGTGGTGAAGGCCTAACAATGTTCTCCATGACAGATACCCCAGGACATATCTGTTTTTATTCTCGCCTGAAGTAAATAAATGACGAAACATAATTACATGTATATACAATGTACGAAGACTTAGTTTAATTAAGAAAAACATATTGTATACGATGTCATTTTCCACTTATTCTAATTAATTATATGAAAATAATTAATAAAAATGTATACATCTGTAAACATGCATATGAACATCACTTTATATTTTTTTGAAACATTGATTTACCAGCACAATTATCACAATGGATGACGCGTTCTTTTTCACCAGATCCAAACATTGTAAGGCAGTGATGAAGCATGGAAATAACACCATTCGACCCTTTCACTCCAGCCCCATTTTCACCCATTCCCTAGTCTTCATCAACAATATAATTCATCTGCCTGTAATTTCCCTCTACGGAAACTCCAAAAAGCTGCACTTTTCTTTGCGTCAAGAAATAAAGTGGCCCCTCCTGTCTTGCATGATGTGGAATGGAAAGTGCTTGCGAGAAGTCAAAGGTGTGGTGGACATGCTGAAGATCTGTTGAACAGGGAGGATGCAATCCCTCTGGTCTAACAAATGCACCCATCTCCTCTCTCGCTTTTTTCACTGTATCGTTATACACCTGAAAAATTAAATTTCATGGAAAAGTCATATAAATTATGTTAAATGAATTATGATTTTTATATTATAGTTGAGTGAAATATTATATCAAAGCAAACTCTTACCTGTCGCTCCATTTCAACCTTAGACAAATGTTCTGTGAAAATTCACATTCCCTCTTGCTTCTCAGCTAGCCCAACTGCCGTTGAAATTTTGGCTTCTTCACATCTTGGACATATATCCGAGCGGGGCGTCATATATTAAATATGGGGACAGCATTCTTTCCACAGAAGTTTGAAGGTAGTAAGCCCAACTTTCCTCTCTCCGAGCTCGTCACAAGAAGTAGAATAGGAAGAATGGAGTGATGTTTTGCTGCCAGATGAAGGTAAAAAAGTCACAGGAATACTTTTGTTTCTTACTGTTGGTTGTGGTAGTCCAAATTCTTCAGCGTAATTCTGAATATAGTCGATCGCTCTTTTTAGCTCGTCAAACTTAAAGGCATTTGGTGGGCGTCTGCTCTTGTTTTTGTGGGTACGAGGTACTTGTCCATTTTCAATCATATGAGACTAGATTTTTGACATATTTGGACCCAACACCATGTACTAAAAGAAAGGCTCCTTTACAAACTTCTTGATTTTGGAAATAGTATGCATACTTCTTCCTTTTTCTCTTCTTCCCACGCTGAGTGTGAATACCAATCCCAACACATGCCAGTCTTCCAATGATAAAGATATCTTTTTCATTTTAAGCTAGTTCACTTGTGATCAGTATTGAGTTTTGTATTTCTTCTACGGCAACGTTTTTCAGACAGTTTTTCCCACACGAACATGCTTTACTAATGTTTTCCTGTAAACTCTGAAGATTGTTACATCCATTACATTCTATATCTTCTTCCTCCTCACTGTAACTCTCTTCATTGTTGTCAATGACACAGTTTCTACCAAATCTGTCAATCTTGTCCCTGATGTCGTCTTGTTGAACAGATTCTTTGTTGATGTCGTCGTCACTGTCATCATCGGTATCCCCAGGTACATTTTTCTCGCAGCTGTTTTTCGATAATCTGTTGGATCTACATACGAGGAATATAGTCATCATCCAAGTGTTCTAAATCCTGTAAAATGGAAAGATCAGGATTGTTTCAATGTTTCAATATATGTTGTATCTTTTTTAAATTTTATATGAAATAAATAATTTGCTGTAAACATTGTGGTACAAGTAATATGTCAAGTTGTCGAATTATTTTTATTAATTTATTCATTAATCACTTGGATTAATGCATCTCCAAATACCGCAGAAGTATGCCTGAGATATTGTCAATTAGGCGCTTAAAACCCTTAACGATCAATCCAATGACATACACCTTTACTAATTTAATTATATTTTCTTACATTGATGTACATCATTTGATGTTTCTTACATTGATTTAATTAAATATATAAATCAAATGAATTGAATTTCGTCAGCTGTTCTGCTGGTTGCATATATTCAAATTGAGTCAAGTATATTTTAAAATTAATTTGATAAAGAGTATAATTTTTTATAATATGTATTTTTAAAAACGCATGAAGATTCGATAAAATAAATATAGTTGTCAATAAATTCTGGAAGGCTTAGGTTGAATAATGAATGTGTCACTTATACCGCCAAAAAACACACTATATCGTATTTAATTAAAACATAACGGGTAAAAAAAATAACGTACATCGCAGTGAGGAATCGAACCCGGATCGCACAATCACAATGCGGGTACGCTACTTCTACGCCAGATTCAACAGTTACAATTTATTTGCAGCAAAGAAAACTTTTTTGTCGTAAAAAACAGGTAATCTACATTCAAAATAATATTTTATTATATTATAAACCCTCCATTAATTTCTTTCTTATAATTTTACTTTAATTTACTTATATCAAGAGTTCTAGCATCAATATTACGGTAATATAATATTTAGTGTTTATTAAAACATTAGTATGACATCATCTTTTGTTCTTTTAATGCTTTCTATTTCTTGCAAGGCCCAAAACAGTCCAATAAGTTACCTGAAACTGTCCAATAAGTTTAAAAATCTGTCCATTATTAAAAATAATGGACAGTTTTCAGTTACTTATTGGATGGCTACAGGTAACTTACTAGATTAAGAAAACACAACACAAATAAACACAAATAAATATTTTTCAGGCAATGAATCCAACAGTTTCACAGTGTAATTAAATAATCCATTCCAAGTCACAAAAACTGAAACATTGTAATTATTCCAATAAATGATGAAATGTATATTCCAGCTCACAATGAACATCAAAACTTAAATTTGAAGGAAATATCTCGATCTGAATACTATTAGAATGTAATTTGCACCAACAACACACGAGGGGATATCACTTCTCCTGGCAAGAAACAGTCGATCCTTAAATTCTTATTTCACACTAGTACTTTGAATAATTTTTCTCATTTTTCTACAGAAACACAGCCATCGTTTTTCTGCTACAGGAATGCAAGGGTGTTTTGTCAATAGCCTTGTCTACTCATCTCCCGATTTGTTTCTGATTTCGGCGAAAAGAAAGCTTATAATTTTGTTGATTTCTTTATCACTCAACATTTAACGTACATCAACGTTTAGTACCGTGTAACATTCTCTCTGTCAGTTAAAAAACACAATAAGTACCCGTTTACATTTCTGCTCTGATTATCCTCTTCTAAATCATCTGAATATTGTTGATTTAATTACGGAAACCTTTCTACGTTCCCTTTGTTTTTCTGCATCCTTGAAAACCCTTGATCAAACGTTGAGAAATATTTGAAAAATGAAACGTCCACCTTGAGCTCAAAGTTCATTTTCTTGACAATCCTAGGCTCACAATATCACAAGAATGGCATACCCCGTTATGCATTGCCCTTCATATCTGAAGTTGTTTTGCATCAAAATATGCTTCCTTGGAAGAAGACATGCTTTCAACATTCACAATCACATCAAAATGGTGATGGAATCTCATGCCTTGTGATTAAATATTCTTTAGTCAGTTGTTTAAAAATTGAACTTACCTGTAACTGTCCACTAAGTTAACAATAACAATGAATACAAGTTTCTTTTGACTTCTTTTGACTGTCATAAAACCCTCACCTGAGACAGTCCAATAAGTAGACAATGCTAACTTAATACAATGGATGAGAAAAAGTTCTAAGAGAGTACATTATGAACACAATGGGGTAAATGTTTTAAGTAGGTTATAGGCCTCAAACTGTCCATTCTGTGAGAAAAAAGAACTATTGTCGGGCCTAACGGCCCTCCAACAGTTCTTTCTTCTCACAGAATGGACAGTTTTTGGCCTATAACCTTTACTTAAACGATGTAGATCTATGTCGTCTGTAAACAAAGACCTTTGTTACGAAGTTACTACAGTTTTTATCTTGTAAAGACTTATTTTATAGATAACATTTTGTCACTTATATTTACGAAGGTGTGACTACATGGGAAGGTAATATAAATGTTCTATAACTGAGGAAGTTTCAACTCTGTATGCTTTCTGCACGTACCATATTTTATGTCAATACAGCATAACATGTACGTATACAAGTACATGTATAGGCCTATCATTGCATAAGTTAGGGACAAGAATAAGAAAAATATAAAAATATCATTTAAACTACATTACCTTAAGATCCATGGGATGGCAAAGGGTTCAGCTTATCTTCTCTCTAGAAATCAGCTGTGAATTTATAGTTAGGCTAAATCATGCTAAAAATTTTTTACGGTAAGCAGTCGGCTGTAACGTCATGACTTTAGACATAGATTATGACGTTATTCTATTCACGTCACGAAGGTCCCTTTTCGCTTGACACAACTAAAAGTGCATTGTTTCTGAAAGTGAAAATTTAGTTATGACCTAGAGTGCCTCTTTGAAAATTGTGAATTTTATTGCCCCTAGGTCAGGGGTTCTGGTGTTAGGGTGGGGCTCTAATGATTTTATATTAAAAATACATTAATTCTTTGAAAATCTTCTCATCTGCCCCTGGGTATTAAACGAACTAACTAAGTATATAGGTATGATTAACAAGAGTGCATCTTCTAAATTTGTGAATTTTATTGCCCCAGGGTCAGGAGTTGTGGTGTTAAATGAACTAACTAAGTACATAGTTATGATGAGATTGAGTCCTCTACCAAAATTGTGAATTTTATTGTCCCAGGGTCAGGGGTTCTGGTGTTAGGGCAGGGCTCTATTGATTATATAGTGAAAATACATTAAAGATCTATATATAGTTATGATGAGCAAGGGCTTCTCTTCCAGAATTGTGAACTTCAAGGCCCCAGGGACAGGGGTACCGTCGAAGGGGGGGGGGGGGTTCTATTTATATACTGAAAATGAATGGTTTGAAATCTGCTACTTGGTATATTAATCAAACATTTTTGATCAGCAAGGGTGCCTTTTCAAAAAATTTGCAATGTGTGGACCTAGGGTATGGGGTTCATGTGTAGTAGGGGCACTACTGATTATTGGTGAATATTACTGATTAGTTGAATGCATTTTTGTTCCCCTACCCTTCCTATGGTTATTAAGTAACCAAACTAAACAATTGTAAAGTGTAAAGTTATGATGAGCAATGGTACCTCTTTCAAAGTTGTGAATGCCATAGCATCTAGCTTTAAACTTGTACCAAATTTGATCACTGGGAAGTTGTTGCATGATGCTCAGGTGACCTATAAGGCCCATGGTCCTCTTGTTAAATGGTGAATTTCATGGCCTCTGGTTTAAAACACGAACAAAATTCAATTGTTGGAAAGTCATTATAATCTTCAGGTGATCTATAAGGCCTATGGGCTTCTTTTTAATTGTATTCAACGTCACTCATTAATTGTTTTAATTAACAGATTGATTCTCAGACTCGGGAATTAAATTTTAGAATATATCGTGCAGTTTGTACAAGCTTTCAAAAAATGTGTAATTCATGTTAGATTTACGTGTATTTCACGATGAACCAACACGAAAAAATGATAAAGTAAATATATATATTTAAATTTTAGTGACAGACTTTTTATCTGCAAACGTTGCAAGTATAAAGTTTACACGAAAAATTTCTGTTGATTAAGTGGAGCTATAACTTTCATATTTCACATGTGCATTCCTTGTAACAAGACTTCTCTTTGGGTACCACCAAATATGACCTTCTGACCTTGACCTTGGAGTTTGACCCACTTTTTCACATAAATTTTACTTTGGCCATATCTTTTTTACAGTAAATTTGAGGACACTTCAAATATGTATTATGTGTCAAAAGACCTTTCATTGGATACCAACAACCTTGACCTTTGACCTTGACCTTAGAGAATTCCGTACTTATAAAAAAAAACTTTAACCTTGGCCATAACTTTTTAACGCTAAGGGATTGGACTTTCATACTTCAGGTATGTAATCCTCGTGAAAGGACCTTTTATTGGATACCAATAACTTTGACCCTTTGATCTTAACCTTGGAAGTTGACCTACTTTTAAAAAAGCAGAACTTGACCATAACTTTCAAAGGGTTATGACTAGTGCTTTCATACTTTACATATTTAATCCTTGTGACAAGACCTTTTATTCGAAGACCTTTGACTCGTTGACCTTGAATTTTGACCTACTTTTTAATTTTAAACCTTGGCCATAATATCTGAACGTTAAATCTTGGGCTTTAATTCTTTAAATATGCATTTTTTGTGGCAAGACCTTTCATTGGATACCAATTACCTTGACCTTTTGACCGTGTTTTCAGGAATATCATACCTCATGACAAAACTTTAACCTTGGCCATAACTTTTGAACGCTAATGGCTAGTGATATCATTCTTCTTATATTTAATCCTTGTGACAAGACCTTTCATTTGATAGCAAGACTTATGACCCTTTGACCTTGAAGTTAGAGTACTAGTTTGACCTTCTTTTTAAAATCTTTAATCTTGGCCATAACTTTTGAAAGTTTAAGGCTAGGTCTTCCATATTTCACATATGTATTTTTTGTGGCAAGACCTTTCATCGGATACCAATTACCTCGATCTTCCGACCTTGGAGATTTACATACTATGATAAAACTTTTTACCTGCTTTTATATTTTAGACTTGTATTTCCAGTGAGTTTGCATTTAAGAAAAGTTTAATCTTCGCTATATTGCCATACGAGGGCATCAGTGTTTCACAAACACATCTTGTTGATTAATAAGTGATACAAAAATCATATCTAGATGTCTAATTAAATGCTAAAACAAAAACATTATTTTATCCGTATTAAAGTATTTTAGAAACAAGCTGTGTCATTTAATTATAATAACGGGTGTTCTTATTAGAAAAGGATGTACTATAACTACTTATGAGAATTAAAACAAGATCCGTTTAAACTGTGTTCAAGTCACAAGAATGACGTGACCAACAGCACTATACATATTATAGCTTTAGGGTTTCATTAGTACCATATCTGGTTACTTCAGAATTTTCATATAAGTACATTTTTGTATACTGAAGATATAGTTCTGAACAAGTAGTTAACGAATTTTAGTACGAAATGCAGAGTGTAAGCTTCGATTTGTAAATTGATTGAATACAAGACTTGAAAATTTTGCGATAGGAAATTATTACTATTTATTGCAATTATTACTTTGTAAGCAATTCAAAGTCACTTGTCAAGGATCTGTATTTTTCTCCCGTCAAACATAGCGGTCTTAAAACTCATTCATAAGCAACATCTATCTATTATTAAAACACTTCCAATGCATTATTGTGTGTAAAGAATACAAACATGTCTCTAAAGATTAAAGTTTCAGATCATAAACTTTCAAAGTGGCAGAGTAAAGATAAGTAACTATTTTTTGCATGATGTAGAAATAAATCAAAATTATGGAGAGGGCTTATGTAGCCTATGCCTACTACCCAATCATTTATGTATTTATTACATAATAAAATATGTTCAAATCAAATCAGATCAATAAATTGTGAAATCATAATTGGATTATTGTAAGAAGAATACAACTTCGCTCAATTGTCCTTAATAAGAATTTTTCGCATCATCTATGAAGGATATACTTTTCTTAAGCGAAAATCATTTTTGAAGTCTGTATCATTTACTTTTTTCTCGTCTTTTTTTCAATTATTAACATCATGAACACTATAGACAGAAGGAAATTTACTGCTTAAATATTTTTTCCTGATGTAGGGCTTCTGGTTCATTTGTAGTAAGTTATTTGTATCTAAATGCAGTTCCTAAAGTTTACAATTGAAATCTTTTATTTTACCAACAACTGTTGAAAATTGTCCAAAAGACTATCATTTAGAGCAAAATCCGTTTTAATGTTAATCTCTCATAATTTTTTCAACACTGCAAATCCAGTTATTGCTCGTAATTGTTTGTTTTGTTAATCACATCATAAACATGGGTATATTGACGACATTCCGATGCTTCAGTTTCGTAGAGACTACATTCATGTATTTTGGTTGTAGTGTTGTTCTTGGATCTAAAAACAAAATCACAAATATACGTTCATGCTTCAGTTATATTTACATTTTTTTTTCATTTTTTTTAAAATTATACACACCTTGATTTTCTTATGAGAATGCTTATAATGAATGCTATTATTAAAGCAAGTAGAAGGACAGCAGTTGGTACGGAAATGTATATACATGTACCTAGGATGTTATCTGTAAATAATATCAAAATGAGTTTTTTAGAATATCATTAATTTTAATATTAAGATACATAGAAGCAAAATATTTTCATTCGGAAGAAGTTAACAGAAGCAGATTTGAAAAGAAAAAAAATCAATGAAATATTTTACTAATAGACATACAAAATAATAAAATATTCATACAGAGAAAACTGTCTATTCCGACACCTGAATAATCCGAAAAACTGTGAATTCCGACGTTTTATTCATTTACCATTTTACTATTTAGCATATGAATGATATGCGCATAAATGTCAGAAAAACCTTGAAAACTAATATATTCTGTGAGTTATCTGTCATTCATTTCTTTTCAAGATACCTTTAGTACGGTCTTTCAATGTAAGTGGAAGGGTGGTGTGTTTGGAAAAACTACGTTTAGTCTTTAATGTTTGCGTGAACGTTGATGCGCTGTCCTCAGAAAAGTTTGGACCTAAACACCGGATGTGAATTTTTACTAAAAAAAAATTCCGTTGATTTCATGAAAACATTATTTATCACCCAAAGTTACAATAATCATCGTAAACACATTAAGTAAAAAATAAAATACACGAAATATAAATACAGTAAATAAGGATACTAAATACCTCGAGATCGTGTTAAGAAATGGAAAGAAGCATTTATTGAATCTGAGTTGTTAACCAGGGTGAGGAGTAAAGGCGTGCTGTCATTCAGTGAGATGTACATGCTTAGGTAATCGCATTTCACTTTTTTGATACTCTCCTTTTCCTTAATTTCTATATTCAAACCACAGTTACCAGGAGGTAGAGGAGATGCCCAACTTATATGTATGTTGGTTGGTTCTGTCCAGTTAGTGGTGGATAGCTGACACAAACACGGTAAATCTGATATCTTCGGAACATGTAGATATAAGGTGTAATCAATTGATTCTCCAGCTTTGCAAAATGCAATATCTGTAATCATACAGATGACGTAAGCAAAAAAGATTTCAACAATTAGAAATACATACCGGAAAAATAAATATTTTTATCTACTTCATTCAGCAAAAGTAAATTAAATTCAAGTTCCCATACCTGTTTGATTTCCAGCGAAACAGTTACCTAAAATTTACGTGTAGCATGATTTTTTAATTCAATTTATGAATGTGCATTTTCCGTAAATATGTAAAATTTATTCTTATAGTATTATGTAATACTTTCTGCAAAATGCATTTATTTACAGAGGGTTATTTCCTTTCTTTATAGATTTTACGGATTTATGTATCTTTAAGATCTAATGAATCTGATATAAATAATCATAAATACAATGAAAACTTTCAAACAGGTAAAAGTCCTTACCTACGTAACTTAAAATAAAACCATATACCAAAATGTTTTCCATCTTAACACGGAAATCAATACCTACAAATACTAATTTGTCCTTACTTGATCAAACATTCGAGCCCTCAATACATTGCCGTGTCTATTTTTAGTATAAATTAGATTTAAGGTTCTTAAAGATTTGGAATTACTGCATATAGATGATGCACTTTACAATATCAAAATGCAGTCCAAATCTGAAACTGAGGAATTCGTTTTACTTTTTCTTTCGATATCGATTTCAATTGTCATTGGTTATATATATAGTCAATTGTTACATTTCAAACAATGTAGTCGTAATTAATATTTTATATCACTGCCAGAGGTGCCCTGATTGACATTTTGTTTAATGAACTTCCGGGAATTCCACCGGCAAGTGGTGGCGTCTCCATATCAGTGAAAAACTCTCGAGAGGTACGTTAAACAATACAGTATACAATCAATCAATCGACCTGGGAATTGAATTTTAGAATATACTAGGCAGTTTGCATCTCATGCAAATGATTGTTTTGCTGCTCAGTTTTTAAATGATTTTGCTGTTTGGTTAATGTTATGGGATAAGGCTTTTAAAAATGTGCAATGGTGTGTTTAGATTAATTTCATTTGATAAACAAAGTAACTGACAATTAACTTTTTATACACATATTCGTAAGGTAGTTTACTTAAAAATAATGAAAGTAATGTACATGCTGTATAGATATATATCGATTGCATTGGTAACGTACTTATAGTACACAATATCTGTACAATTTTTCTTTAAATGTCGTAAATTGAATTATGGAATTCATCTTTGTTTTACATGTATAGTCGTATTCATTATTTTCTTTATTTATCAATTCCTTACGATGTAAAAGATCTGCTCGTGGTTTTATGTTAGTAAACAGTAAACAATCTTTACAAATCTCTATTTGGAGAGTGTAAAGATCCTGTACATGTTATTATTGCACTGACTCAATGTACACATGTGTAATTGGAAAACTACAATGGATTTGAAAAACAAACTTTTCCAAAGGCAATTTACTTCTTATTCAATTCAAAAATAAGACAATTTCACTGAACTTAACCCAAAATGGTATTTTTATAGTTTAAAAACGTTCCTTTTAGAAATATGAAAATTATTTCAGCTTTTTAATTGAACTTTAAATAAATAACAAAATATTTGATGGACAAAAAAATTACCTTTCAAGAAATGACAAAGGACAGCTGGTAATTTGTAAGACTTAGATTTCCTGCACTGATGGGAATGAGTCTGTACCTCAGTATTTATAGAAAGAAAAGCGGTTTAACATGATTTACTCGGAAACTATTTCATACTATGAAATCTTAGGAGTAGGATTCATGAATGAAAACCAAATCGAATCACATATTGGCTATTAGCAACTTATGGAATAAACAAAATTATTGCTCAGCTAGTTCTTGAGAAAAAAAAATAGAAAAATGATTTTAATTAAATATTACTCGGCCATATCTACTTTTAGTGTGTGTTTACGTCTAAATTACTTACGTTTTGAAATAAAGCTCATGGAACATTCCTTTCTACCAGAAAATGAAAAACATAACATCTATATTCAACTTTTTACGAAAGTCATCAAAATGTTTGAGAATACATTTGTTTCTTGAAACCTAAGTGTATCTACTGCTAAAATTCCATCCAATATCATCAAGTGAATCGAAGTCCAACTTTTAAAATACTACCTCTTAGTGTTACCAGAGATAAATTTACTTAAGAGCATATTTTGAAAATATTTTATCATTGTCGAGAGAACTGTTTGTGTTTTGTCATTTGCAACAGTTCACACTTTAGTCTTTTTTATTCAACGTTAAACTTTCAAATAATATATATACATTATTTAATCATCCTATATCTGTCTTAATAACAATTTAAAAGTGTGCACATATTCCATTTGATTAAATTAGTATTATTTATATTATTTATTTATTTACCCTTTTTACTGAAAGTAAGATAGCATAAGTTTTTTATGTATCGAATGATTCAGAATGAGTCTTGTCATTGACTATCAATGATATATATGTAACTGCAATAGGGAAAAATAAATAATATTTTTATTAATCATTTCAATAAAATTGGTCGTAACTGTTACATATATGTAATAAAAAATATACTAGTATAAACATAATATATTTACTCCCGGACATATTTGTACCCAATCAACAAGAGATTTTATTATCAATCCAGCTAAAAAACCATACAAATTAGGCGGACATATTTATGTTGTGATTAAAAAAACAAAATAGGCGGACATAATTGTGTTGTGATTAAGGAAAATATTACATGTAAATGCAGTTGTAGACTGCAAAAACTTACAGGAAAGCGAGTATGAATAACATACTCGCTTTCCTGTAGATGTTAAACGAAATATAATTAGAATATGATTAGGAAAAAGTAATATTAATTAATTGATCGAGACAAAATCCTTGTTTAAAAGCTTATCAATTTTTGTATATTAATTACTTTTTATAATCATGCATGAATAAACTGGTTGAGGCTTTAAACATTTTCATTATACTTGGTAATGAAAATCAAATTGTTATATTTTTATTTTGATTATTTTGTAAATAGAAAACATATACGTAAAAATGTAGTTCCAACCTGGATATCCTTTTCAGTGAGCTCACAACATCAGTCTGAGTTTCTTTGTTGCCTTGGTAATTGTACCTTTTATGTTTCAAATAGTTAAACATGTGGAGATAATGAACAGTATTCAAGATCAAAAGTCCATAAAATAATACAAAATAGAAGCAGAGCAAACACGGACCTTCAAAACATCAGAGGGTTGATCGGGTGCAATGGAGGAGTGGGCCTCCCCTGCCGACCTGTCTACCTGCCATGTGCTCCTTGTCATGATCGGGAAATAACGGAAAAAATCCGTCGTCAATTCAGTGTATAAATAATATACTAACCATTAGTATGAAAAACGTCAGTCAGCATTTGACTCAATGATAAATTGTATTTGCTGACAAGATCATTGTATCGACCATAGAACTTACGAAATGATGACTTTAAATGAGACAGCTGATATTCTTGTTTTATCAACTTGTTTGTCAATTATTTACCTCCTTTTAAAAATTGTTCATATGTAGAGCATGATCTTGCGTATCGAATCAACTGAGATACATAAACTCTGTATGAAGTTGATGAAGGTATATTGCTGCATAAGTAAGGGAAGTTGAATACAGAAAAGTTAACGTTAGCATAGAGCTTGGTTGTTAGATAACCTTAACGTCTTTTTCAAGTAAAATATCCAAATATGATATATATGTATCAGACTCTGTTGTATCTTTTTATCTCAAGCTCACAAGGATATATCGTATTGGTATATGAATGGAAATTACAATTGTTAATTGAGAGTACGTCATCGATATATCTAAATGCCGAG